ATAACTTCAAAGAGCTGTTCTATACTAGTACTTGTACTATTCATATTGTGGGGAGATGGGACGAAGAATAAATCTGTATTAGTCATATTTCAGGAATCTGCTGGTTTGAGTTTTTGACCGTAGTAGGACCTTTTAGCTGATTCACACTATTAGCTATTTTCCATCAACACACATAATCCTTGTGAACAATCTAGGACAAGTTATTCTAAAAGAAAATGCTGGCAACCACAGAACTGATGGGCCCACAATCCATGGACACAAGAGTGGTTTTCTCAAAAGAAATAAACAATAATTGGCAAAGATGGCCTACAGATTGTGGGTAGTATGATATTCTTCCCATGGAAATTACCCTAATTTTTGCTACTGATGGTACAAATGTTGGGTTGTCAAAATGCACAAAGCCAAAAAGTTCAGGTTAAGGTAAAGATAAAGTCAGCAAGTGTATTCACAAAGATGCAAGCACAAATATATGTGTGTGTGTTACTGCACTGGACCTTTTTATCAGCTACTCTGGATTATCCTCAGGCCTTTATCTCCATCTAGTGGTCTGATTGTAGTACTGACAAATAAATGTGATCCACCAGGCTGCAGCACTATAAAATCATCACTGTGCTCTCTGTCTTTTGAATCACTGTTGTATTTTTATTCTTTCAGCCTTTTTGCACCTTTTTGCATCTTTGCAGATTTGCTTAGATAAACTTTTATTCTACAAACATAATCTTACATCACAAAGTTAGATTTCTCACCAAGAACGCGATGGGTCTCAAAGGCTCCAGTTTTGCTTAATAGTCCCTATATGATTTGAGCACTTATACATTTATTCTTAAATTTCTCACCTTAAGTGGAAATTCAGCTGTGTGGCCTCGTCTTATGTTGTGTTGTGTAACTATGCCAAGGAAACCGGTCTATATATCAACCATCAGCAAGTAGAGAGAAGTGATGGGCTGAAAGATGAGGAGGCTAAAACAGCTCTGCCACATCTTAAAGACGATCAAAAAAGAGTTACAAAAGCTGCCTCAACATCGACCCCTGCTGGACAGAAAAGGATGTGAAGGCCTAAAACATCTGGTGATCACAGCGGAAGAAAATTATCACAGCAAACAGTACAACAGATAAAGACCTTTATGTTGCTTTAATTCTCTCTTCTTCTTCTTCTTTTTTTTACCTTTACATCACATGTAATTAAATATAGCACATTTAGTTTTTTAATCTGCTGTTGTCCTGAGTAATCACTATGTGGCTCTGTTTATATCTGTACAAGATAAATGAAACAATCATAATTATCATAGTCTATATTTTCAGATTTGCTACATTGTTTTCTTATAATTAATTTGTTAAAGTTGCTAACCTCTAAATATCTTTTTATCATTATAATCTGCTCATTATTCTCTTGACTGAACCACGGATTTACTTTGTGAGGTGTAAAAAAATAGTGAAAAAATGTCAGCTCAGTCACTCAACACATGTGACACCTGCACTTGCCTTGTTTTTGGTCATTTTTCATGCCATGGTTTATTTCTTTAAATAATTGAAAGCTCAAAAATATTTAGTGTGCATAATGTTAAACTATTAAGTAACTTGTAGCTGAAGTTTTCAAATCAACATATTGGAATAAAATCTGATCAAATATTTTACTTACCTCACAAATATGCTAAAATAAAAATGCAACAATAGTACCCAAAAATGAAAAAATAATGAAGGGTAAATGTGAAAAACCTTCAAATGTACTTCAAATTTGTAATTTTCATCATTTTAGTGTAAGTGTGTGAGCGTGTACGTCTATGACGGTAGGAGATGAAAGAAAGGAAGCCAAGTGAGGATGTGTCTTGACCAACATTTCATATGTGTGCCATCTCTCTCTCTCTCACACACACACACGCAGAGTGCTCAGTCCATGCTGGAGGCGACTGAAGGCATTGCACTACTAGCCTACTTTTGGACAGGTCGGTCCTCTAAAAGCGTCCAGCCACCGTGAAATTCATATTATTCCCGTGAAGCACACACACACATACAGACACGCACACACACACACACGCACACACACACAAACACACACACACACACCATATATTGTCTCTTTATATACTGAACAAGCCTGCATGTACAGATTTCATACGTCTGGATTATTTTACGTTTAGGCCGTCGTGTTGTTGATGTTTTAACGTGTACATGAGTACTGTCAGATCTCTTCAAAGTTTATTTAATCTGTAACAGTGTATCCTGTTACAGTAGCTGATGATACCTAATGCACAAATAAATAAAAACTGCACCTGAAGGGTTTGAAATAAATGTAGAAGTTGCAAATATTTTACTAAA